ATTGCTTGTACTGTATGAGAGTCACAGTTTACACAACACTGCATTAATTAATGGAGGGGTTACGGTGGCGAGATGTTAACTACCTTGCCTAGTATACAGGAGGTCGTGAGTTCGATCCCGACCCTGACGCCTGTTGTATATTTGGAGTTTGCGTGATCTCTCTCTACACATTTAAAGTCAACGTGTGTTTAGAGTATTTGGCTGCTATCCATTTCCACGTGACAAGCCGCTTCGTTGGGCTATCATTTGTGATGGCCACGTTGCTTCTGACAAAAGAGCTACATAGCTCAGTGGGCCGTACCTGGTAAAATAAAATAAAAAATTGTTTAGGCGTGTTTATAATATTGCCCTGTACCACAGTGTAGGTTTTGTGGCACACTCGAAATGAAGGACGTGGGCAGGTGCTCCAAATCGATGGCAAGCACATGTATTTATTGTAGTTAATATCAATCTTGTGAAGAACCGCACCGTCACTCTGTAAAATGCAACAGCGCGTGTTACACGCAGCATTTCTTCCGAGTCGCCATTAACCACGTGGCTGGTTTACACGTGCGGTTATTCATTAACCCTGCCAGCCACCTACAGGCCCAACTCAGTCATCACATGCTGCTGTACACACTTGCATTGATGCACTGCACAGCACATCAGGACCTTCACAGAACCACACTTTACTCCCTTGCTGCACAAGGATATAATTAAAAGAGTGATTAATTCCTAATGTGCCACAGTTTTCTCCTCTGTGCCTGTAGAGCGAGCACGAGCGATGTGTTTTCGGGTTGAACAGAGTCATGCTCTCTAATGAGGCCTGACCGTTTCGCTCTACGTGCTGGTGACTTCTCCAGGAGCTGAGTTCGAGAATTAAAGAAGCTTCCCAAACAGCTCCTGGAGTTCTCGCGAAAATATCAAATTCCCGTGTAAACCTCCCAAACCCACCCCGTGTCACGTCGAGTGGAACGTCGGACGTGACACAACATTTACAATCTGGGTACGACGTTTTGTCAGTAATTACAATCAGCATCATCAGGCCACAGCCAGATTGTAATAATTGGCAAAACGTCGTACCCAGATTGTAAATGTTGTGGATTTGCTCTCCAACACACCAGTGTGCTGTACTAGTAACGAATTGGCACGTTCTGTTTACGTGAGAAACCTCACGAATTTTCTGTGTTTAACGACACATTTATATTTACGCGATCTAACCCAGAACACCTGCATTATGAGTGAAATGTGCATGTCGCGTGCAGTTGCCCGATAGTCTGTGTGGATCGCCAGGGGTGTGTGGGTGTGTGCCGTGAGATGAGTGGTGCAGTGGTTACCGCACTGCGCTTCTGACCAAGCGTCCCGAGTTAGATTCCCGGCCCAGGTTCACGTCAGTGGCGAGTGGCGGAGTCTCATGCCTGTTTATTGTTGGCCTCCCCTGGGTCGACTCAGCCTCAAATGAGTACCTGGTGCAGTGTAAACATCGCCATTGGGGAGGTGCTGGCCACTCACCCCTTCGTGTGCCGTGTCGGCTTTCATAGGTACTCGCTAAACAGCACTTGCCCCACAAGTCTGTTAAGGCTACACGGGTGATCTTTGGCATTTTCAATCAATCCCTTAAGCCAAAGACCGCCTCGTGTGGACTTTCAACTGTATACTGAACGCAAAATAATACCGTCATCATGCTCTGCAGCGCTACTGGGGATTATATTGCGTTACGTATTTGAAAGTTTTCCATTTAGTTTAATAACGACCCATTAATAAGAGAGAGATTGAGGAACCTTGCCCTATGATACGCTAGTTCACATTCACCAGCAGTGCTTTATAACAACCCGGCCTGACGATTCTCATGAGGCACTGAATTTGGAAATCGGTCCAGAGTTTGTTTGTTATCGAACCACTGCTGCTGGGAAGGAAATAAAAAACGTGTAAAAAAACACCCACCCACTAGCAATATATTTATTACGTACAGAGACATATGAGAAGGACGTATTTCGTCCGCAACAGGGGATGTTATATTGACCTTGGGTAACACGTGGTGATAAAAAAACCCTGCTTTGTTGACCCAGTGGCAATAGCAAACAGTTGGTCAAGTCCCAACTGTTTCAACATAACTTTCCTACTCTCGTGTTTTCCCTCTTTTCCCACGTGGCTTTTTCCTCTCAATAAGAGCTCCACAAAACATCACTTCAAATTGTAGGCCCTGGTAAAAAAAAAACAACCCAAGCCGGGGATAAGCAAACAATGAAAGTTGGGCTGGGTGACATGCCACACGGATAAGGCCTACAGAGAGTCAAAAGGTAGGGAAATCACTAGCCTCTGTGGTTAGGGCAGAGGCTAGTACGTACTGGTGTGCTGTTGGCTAGTTTTGTTAGGGTTAGTTATGATTACGGGTAGGGCTAGTGTTGGGCAATGGTTAGGATTAGGGTTAGAGTTTAGCACCGGGGTCTGTTGGACTGATACGTTTAAGGGTCGGGTTCGTGTTTGGTTGGGTAGTGTGGTGAGAGTCCAGTGTATTTTTAGTGTATGGTTGGCGACTTAGGGGTAGGCTATTACTCGTATCTCGTTCACTAGTAGCATTCACTTCTGTCCTCCAAAATCAAACAATTTGGCAACTCCACCTTTGTTATTTTTACCCCTGTGTGTTGTCACAGCGATGCTTTCTCAAAGTGGGCTCCGATTTATGTGTCCCTCTATTGAGCTTTCCCCCACGTTGACCTAAGTCTCCTTTGGCCGACCTCTTCAGCGCACTATTGTTCTGCATTGAACTGCATCACAACATTGCACAGTAGATGTGATGCTCCGATGCTTGTCTTCCAGAGGCGCCATGGTGGCCAGATGTTAACTACCTCGCCTGGTATGCAGGTTGTGGGTTAAATCCCAATCCTGGCGCCTGCTTGTATATTTGGAGTTTGCATGTCTCCCTCCCCGTGAGCGCGTGGATTTTTCTTCGGGTCCTCCTGTTCCTCCCTCCACGCGTTTAGTGGCTGTGGCTGCTATGAATGTCCACGTGATAAGCCACTTCGTTGAGCTATCATTTGTGGCCAGGTCGCTTCTGAAAAAGAGCTATATAGCTCAGTGGGCCTTCCCTGGTAAAATAAAAAGTTTAAATTTTCATTTAAAGCTTTCGTGACTGCAGGGATTCATATTCTTGGTTCTTTCGGTAAAGTCACATAGAAGGGAAAAAATATTATTTATTATTTTCCTTCTACGTGACTTTACCGAAAGAGCCAAGAATATAAAAAGTTTAGTTTAGACTTTGCAGCAGTGAGCGCTGGTGATTATTCTGTGCTGATGATTCCTAATGAGAATGAAACCGGTCCACAGTTGTCCATCTCTGGGGTCACTGCTGCTGGGCAGTTGGTCACATTTACTGAAATGTATTTTCACGGTGACCTCAGAGATAGGGACGACAACAGCCTTATTTAGGAACTATTGATGGTTGTGGGGGTGCAGATGGCGGGTGGGGGGCCCAGGGAGGGGGGAGATTGACCGCGATGAGTCACAATGTGAAAAAATCCGATGAGCTATGAAGCTCTTTTCACAGATGTCCAGAGTGCAAATTATAGGAAAGGTAGGCAAGTCACTAAAAGAAATAAGTATACACAAATGTATTGACAACAACTAACTCACAGCCACAACTCGCTTTTATTTTTTGATATTTAAAAAAAAACTGTAGATGGTTTGTAAACAATATATATTCTCAGTTTAACACGTAGGCTTTCGCGACCAATGTTATTCATAATCAACGATTTTTGGGTTTAGATCGCGTTTATTTATAAATGTGTCGTAACCCTCCACCACCCGACACGGCCAATCAGTAAAAAATGTGTCACGTTGACAAAGACAAATAGTTCACTGCTTTAGCCCACCGGTGTGTTGAAGCAATTGTGAATGTTGTTGCTTCAACACACCGGTGGGCTAAAGCAGTGAACTATTTGTCTTTGTCAACGTGACACATTTTTTACTGATTGGCCGTGTCGGGTGGTGGAGGGTTACGACACATTTATAAATAAACGCGATCTAAACCCAAAAATCGTTGATTATGAATATATATTCTCATTGTTTCGAATGTTCTACTGTTATGTTGTGTATTGAAGTGATGGTGCTTTTAGTGGCAGAACCGTGCCAAATTACAGAAAAAGATAATTGACTTGACCTGACTAAGAAATGAACATCCCATGTGTTCCGGTTGGTACTGAAGGTCGAGCTTCTTCATAAAGTGAAGGACGAAGATTGTAATCGCATCGCGCGCTTTCGGATGCATGCTTCTGCGGCCGTCTGGAACGATCTTTCTTCTGACATGAGGAAGCCACCGGAGCTATGCACGTTAAAATCTAGATTGAAAACTAATTTCTTAAAACTGCTTTTTTGTGATTAGTTTGTTGTCCTTCCCCAACACCTCCGATTAGCACGGTTGGCTAAGTACGTTGTGAAATAAGTTCAACGCACGTACATATTTCAGTGACTGATGAAGAGCTCCCGTCAGTCGCGCGAGGAGTTCCCCAACAATCTTCCAAGCAACGCGGAGCGAACCGTGGCAAACAACAAATACAAAAATTCAACAATTCCTGACACCACGTGGGCAACGGCTCGAAAATCTCGTGGAAGCGCTGTTTTTCCTCACGTGCACGCGCACCGCTTGGCGTGTGTGTGTGCACGCGCGTGTGTGTGTGTGTGCACGCGTGTGTGTGTGTATGTGTGGGGAGCGGTAGTCTAGCGGTTAGCACGCTGCGCTACAAATCCAGCCACCTGAGTTCGATTCCCGCTCATGGGCAACACCAGTGACGATTATCTGAACTGGTCCTAGACCTCCGCTAGGTCGACCCAGCCTCAAATTCCTACCTGGTGCGGTGTGTAAACACCGCCACTCGGGAGACAAACGCGACCGGGCGTGGTGCTGGCGACCCACCCCCTTGTGTGCCGTGCCAGCCTTCATAGGTGCTCGCTCACGGCATTTGCCCCAACGGTCCGTTAAGGCTACACGGGGGATCTTTGTTTGTGTGTTTGTGTTCCGTCAGTGGCTGCTCGCCTGCGTCGTGTCCCTGGTCGTCCGCTTCGGCTGGGGCTTCCCGGACGATCCCCTGGTGGCGTGGCGCTGCCTGCTCAAGTGTCTCCCCGTGCTGGCGCTCATCCCCTTCGCCCGGCAGCGCGGGGGGCCCGCGGGAGGACGCTGCGTCGCCCTCGGACTCGCCGCCTCCGTCGTGGGTCAGCGAGACGCCCACACGCCCCCCCCCGTCCATCTACCTACTGACCTACCCACACACCTGCCCCCACCCCCCCTTGAGCAATTGTTGGTACCGGTTCTGGCTCGCTTCCCGCTCGTCTGTGGTTTTCCCGAGCCTCTAAGGATCTAAGGAAATTGCGTGCGTGATAAATTTGTAACTTTCGCTTTTCACTTTGAAATACCCACCCGCCTGTCATACCCAACTGTCCATCTACATACCTATCTGCCAGCCTGCCTATTAATATACCTACTGACCCACATACATAGCTTTCAATATATCTACTGAACTATATATCTGATGCCTGTATATCTACCTGTCCATCAACCTTTCTACATGCCTACTCTTCTACACACATATGTGTATATCCATTGGCCTACCCAAATATCTGCCTACCTATTCACCTATATACCAGCCTGCCTACTCGCTTATAAATCTGCCCACACGTTCTATGTAGAATCCCATAGCCCAGACCTATGTTTTACAAACGAATTCCATCGGCTTGCGAAAACACCATGCTTGCTCACGCAATTTTGGGAAAAAAACGTATACTCGTTGAAATTCAACGGTGACAATTCAATAAGTCCATCCTCATAAAGGGGTTACATTCAATGGCTAATCATTTTAAAACATGTACGTATATGATAACACGACAGGGGGCTAACGCAATGATGTGGTTCTGCTAAGTCTAAACTAAACTATTTTTACTTTACCAGGTAAGGCCCACTGAGCTATATAGCTCTTTTCAGAAACGACCTGGCCACAAATGATAGCTCAACGTCGCAGCCAAAAAACGCATGACGTTGATTCTCAATGTGGAGGGAAAAACCAGAGGATTCAGAGAAAAATCCACGCGACCACGGGGAGAGAGCCATGCAAACGCCACATATACAGCAGCAGGCATGGTCTGGATTGAACCCATGACCGCCTGTATACCAGGCGTCGCGCCCACACATCAGAAATGCAGGCAATGCCATAATAATAATAGTACTGCCCTTTATTGAACAAACCATCATCTGTCTTTTAGCCGAAGTAGTCAGGGGGTACGACTCAGGGTCAGATTTGATGGGAACAAATTCCGTGGATTTTAATTGTAATGTTATTTTTACCTCCTGAGGAGTGCTCTTTCACTTGGAATCCACGGGTGGGTGGGGGGGGGTGATTATAAAACCAGGGTCGAGCCTGGTTAGTACAATACTTTAGGGCGCCGCGGTGGCGAGATGTTAACTACCCTCGCCTGGTATAGAGGAGTTCATGGGTTCGATGCCAACCCCAAAGCGTGTATATTTGGGGTTTGTGGTGTATCTCTCCCCGTGGCTGCATGTATTTTCTTCAAGGCCCCCCCGGTGCTAAGCCACTTTTGTGGTGGGCATGTCGCTTGTGAAAAATAGTTTTATATAACTCAGTGGGCTTTACCTGGTAAAATAAAAATAAAAAGTTTAGTTGAGTTCTTGAATGGAATGACTGCTGGAGAATAGCAGGCGCTGTAGTGTTGGGGCTGACTGCGAGGTGGCCGGGTGGATGGAAGTACAGCAATGGATTCTTGAATCTATCTGTGCGGAGCTTAGAGTGTTACCCGCTGTTATACGTTGGCGGGGCGGGAGGGAAGGGTTCTCCCACAAGAAGCCAAATTCTCGTAATTGGGATTGGCCAAACATCCCAATGTGGCAGAACCCTCCTGTCAAAGGGTCTTGAGACTCAGTGAGCTTTCTGAAGGTGAAATGCATTATCATCATTACAGTACTGGACTTCAAAGTGCATATCACATATTCGGGCACGATCACCGGTTATGTGTTCAGCTCTTCTTTTTTGTACTCTTGTAATCAGGCCATATAAATTCTGAATAGAATTACAATACCTTTGTTAGGCATTCAGCGGCCGATGTGATTACATTCATTGCGCTTTCACCTGTAGCAGATACTGTATCGTTATTTTCAGTCACTTGTCAATCGATCATTGGACGAACTTAACCTCACATACTTGTTGGCCATCGAGATAATCTTCACCATACTTCACCACGATGCTCAGTGTGGGTGAGTAAAAACCTTTTTAGTCATCCCTCTGCTGGAAATTGACAACTTGAACACTGGTGCCACGGATGCCTCAGCTATCAGATCTCACTTTCCGACCCACCCCTATACTGGGACATCTGTGAAAAAGAGCTTCAGGGCTCATCGAATTCCTCCAGGATAGATAAACACTCTGCTTCTCTCCACTCTTGTGCCTGCTCTACACCGTCTTTGTCACGTGTTGCGCTGGCTTATCAGTCGGTGTCATCACTTCCTCATCCAGTTTATCTTGGGGGCATCTTGAAAGGGACTGACCGGCTTCGTGCGTGACAAAGAAGAGTTCCCATACATACCCGGCACGCATGCGATGGCAAAATACGCTTTCAAATGTCTGAACAGATTGATTCCATAATCGATTTCTGTACCGCATTCCCACGTGCATCAATCAGTCCAAGCCTTAAACTATCTTAATTTTCCCGGGGAGTCTCCCATTCAGATACTAAAAAGGTTCAACCCGAGGGCTGCCACCGTTTAGCCAGGAGAAAGGCAGTCGCGCTTATCCTGATAGGCCAATAATACTGTCTAGTGTCCCCGTGTCCCTGTGTCCAGGTCCCTATGTGAATGGATCACAAGCGTGCACCACCAAGCCTACTAAATTAGTCATCCTTCAATTCGGATGTTTAATCATTTTAAACAGGACATGTCTCGCATCCTGGCCTTTTATGTTTACCAGAACACTCACGTTTTAAACAGCCTTCTAATGAGTCCCTCTTTTATTCTCGTGTACTGTATGAGTCACTCCGGGATGTTAGAAACGCAAACGACCAGCTCATGTTATATCCCATGGGTTTAAATATATTAGCATTTGATTGCGACCGGAGGAGCACTTGTGTTTATATCATAACTATAATAATCAGCAGCAGCAGCAGCAACAAGCAAAATATTTAGAAATAATAGACAATTGAGAAACTGCAACAGCTCCTCTGAGACTGCATGGAGCAAATGTTGTGAAACCCCATTCCCGTGGGCTTCAAAGTCCCGAAGCCTGGCTTGCTAGGAGAAGGTGGTCCAGCAAAATGTGGACTAATCTCCACCTGTTCCATCTGTGTGGGTTGGAGCGTTGCCCGCTGCCTTTACCACCCTCCCCGCACACGTGAGTTCTCGCATGGGTGCCCCCTCTTTCCTGACACGCGTATCGACACGATTTAATTTGGCGAGATGTTATCTCCCTCGCCTGCTATGCTGGAGGTCGTGGGTTTCGATCCCGGGACCCTGACGATGCCCGCTGTATATCTAGAATCCGTGTGTTTTCTCTCTTTCTCTCCGTGGTGGTTCGGGTGGATTTTTCGCCACATTTAGAATGAACACGCGTTTTAGTTTAGATTACTTGGCTGCTACAATAAAGCCCCACGTGTGGTGGTGTGGATAGTTCTGGTGGTGGCAGTGGCGGTGGTATGTGGTGGGTGTGGAGGAGCGGGTGGTCAGGATGCTGGTAGTGGTGTTGTTAGTGGGTGTGGAAGATGGTGGTGGTGGGATGGTTCTGGGAAAGGAAGTGAATTCAATGTTTTTTCTTTGTAGGGGGAGGAGTAGAAGTAGATATTTAGGGTGGTAGCAAACTGCTGTCTAGTTCAACTAATGGGCCTCGTGATTTCAGCTTTAAAAAATACCGAACATCTTCTGTCAGCTAATTTTGGAGACATGTCGGTGCATGCCCTTGCCTTGATCTCTGGTGGAAATTAAGCCAGAAAGAGGACAGAACACCGCCTATAATTATTCAACCTGAATACCATTCAGGCAGGACTGAATTAATGCCTCACCTTCACTGAAAACAAAACTTAATTATTCAGTCTGAGACAAACCTTAAACCATGTTGTAGTTTTATTTTATTTATGTTACTTTCATAGTTATACTCGACATTTTATCTCTGCCTCAGAAATGCATGGCAGGCAAATTCATTCATTTCATTTTAGTAAAATGGTGGTTAATTGGGCCCAGGATTGCACCCCCAACAACAAACGTTCCCACAATGCACTCTGCAAGCAATATTTAATAATTGTTATAAACTCATTTACAGTCAAAGTTAGAATATAAAAGTTAATGTTAGAATACAATCCAAATTAGATTGTAATCTAAATTTAACTTGTACACGGTAGGCAATAGCTACTACTAGTATAGCCAATTCAAAACTTGTCGTCAATTATTTTTAAAAATAGGATTCTCATCAGGCCCCATGGTGTTAAGCTAGTCTCCGGCCCTTATTAACTCTATCTCTTCGATGTCTGTTCATGTGCTAGAAAGAAGGCTCGTTGACCTCAACATCGCTGGTTATACTGTATATGCTTTCTTTTCGATTTAAAGCTTTCGTGACTGCAGGGATTCATCTTCTTGGTTCTTTCGGTAAAGTCACGTAGAAGGGAAATAATAAAATAATAAAAATAAAACCTAATAAAATAATATAATAAAATAATAAAATAAAATAATGTAATAAAATAATATCATAAAATAATATAATAATGTAATAAAATAATATATGTTTTCTTTTATTATTTTATTATTTCCCTTCTACGTGACTTTACCGAAAGAACCAAGAAGATATATGCTTTCTCTTAATGTCAGTGCTATTGACGAATGTGTCGAGTTTGATTCGGCTTAAACTATCAAGCCCCGCGGGATCTTTGGGCGTGACAAATCTCACCATGTTTACAGCCAGCAATGGAGGGGTGGATTTATAAAACTTCCCGTGCATTTTAGAATCTGTTGCGCCATGGAAATCGACTCGAATCTGCGACCTCTGGATTGCAAGTACTGTACATCGTGTCCTGGCCATTGCACCACGTAAAAGTCCGACATCTCGAATGTAGAATGTAATGCGTTAATAAGGGCGGTGATAACGAATATCGTTATGAAATACATTCCCAAATCAACTCCGGCAGGCTTAAATGTGATGTATCACACATCCATTTGTCAGCGCATG